GGCCGCCATGGGGCGCGGCCAAGGGGTCATGGGGCATGTCTGGAAAGCAGCCCATGACAGTAAAAGAATCCAAGTAAGACAAGCAAATGACTGTAACTTTACAAATTGTAACAGGTTGTCACTAGTGTCTCTTAGTCTTACCGGTAGTAATAGTACTATTTTTGTATTTCTCTTATTCTTAGTCCGCTAGTATTACATGTTGTGCTATTTGCTCCTATTGCATTGTTGTTATTGTTCCTTGAGCTGAGAATCTATCGGAAACAGCATCTCTACCTTCACAAGGTAGGGTAAAGGTATATGCATTACCCTTCCCAAACCCTACTTGTGGGATTACACTGGGTTTTTTGTTGTTTTAAGATACGCGTAAATTTCCAATTTGGTACACAACTCAGTTTAGTTGTTTCACCATAACCAGATGTTGATTCAAATTACGAACTAACGTTCCAGGCTTCCAGCCATATGGGTCTGAAAGAAACATGAGTCATTTTTATCACCCAAAAATCCAACTCTTTACATTTCAAAAGCTGTTGGCCAATTCCCATTAAATTCAACATAAAGACGCCCAAGACCACTAAACTCTTGTTGAAAAAGCAGCACATTACATTGTAATGAAGTTACCTATCCTGTGAAGCAACTCAAACTCCTTTTAAAAAATAATAAATTACATTGTAAGGACTCGAACTCCCTTAAAAAAAACACATTACATAATTATGTTGTTGTCTTTCCTGCGAGGTAACTCGTTCTTCTCAACAAAAACTTGGGCCAGTAATGACATTTCTTCCGATCATCTGTATGCCAAATTACCATAAAAATGATGCCACCTACTTTTCCTGCGGACATCAGTTCGTGTTCGCAATGGACACTAAAGTGTTTTCTATGAGATGTAGCTCCGAGCGGGTGAGCAGGGACGCAGAACCTCCCGCGCCAAAATTGTTTTCTCAATTGCTTGGGTGAGGGGCAGCACCATTCAGATTCAGTCCTGGTACACATTATGACTTCTCATTCCCTGTAGAATAGTAGCATACCGGAATTCAGTTATTATGTTCATTAAGGAAAGAGCTAACACAGAGAATAAAGGAAATTAGTAATACAACTTACTCTCAGCATCATCAGACAAGGTATTTTGTGGTGCCGCCTTGACCATCCTTTTTGATGACTCGGCTGTACAAAAATTGCCCAACTTAACAATAGCAAGCAGAAATATACAGTGCTTACTAAGGCGCTACTAAATAAGTTCTGATAATCTTAGAAGCAACAAACTAAACCCTAAACCCCAAGCTACAGATATACTTGAGCATGTACGTGAATTTTTCTATTTTATTTCGAGCATCAAAGCTCATAAGGCCCCCAAGGGTATTGACTGGGAGGTAGTGGGTATTTGATGAATTGGTTGAACTGCGCACAAGCTTACTCAGACACCACCTTTATTAAGGGGGAAAACGAAAAGGTATGATTAGGTAACAATATCCACTATACTAGTTTCAGGTGCTGCCGCCAGAAAAGGCAAAAAAGCTTGTCATCGCCCAAACACAATCCCTCCCTACCTGGCCATCCCCACCCCATGCCCCGCCCCAAAGAAAAAAAGAGAATACGATAACATTGTTTTTTCTTTTGATAAATAGAGAAGAGGGATAAGAATTGGGAGATATATATTCAGTTACACAAGCCCATCAATAATATCCTTTACTTGTGAACCAATAGGAAGTGTTCCCAGGGCATAATTTAATTTTGCAAACTTTCAGCCTTCATCTGCCCATAAAAGTTTTACTTCTCCCAAACTTGAAATCAATATAGACAATTCTATTACGTGCTATCTTAATCTTGATATGCAATTTTCAAGAACTGTATCACATTTCAAACTTCGTCGCAATACTTCCATCTAAATCTAATACAATTGCCTAATGTCTCAAAATGTGGACTATCACCTATGGAGTGAGTCGGAAGCGCAAAGCACAGGTTGGGAAAGTTGATAAAGAACCCAAAATCTTCATTGATTACATTATTTCTATCTAGCAGTATAAAATCTTGTACCAAGTTTGTTAATTAAATTTTGTACAGGCACCATGGAAAGTGCCCTTATCATTGCTAAAGGACTTACCTTTAAATTTCCTTTTCTTCTTTGCTCTCCTCCTTTTTCTCTCTGCTTGTGTCAACTCTGTTTCTTCTTTAACATCTCCTTTGCCAGCAAACACTTCCTCGGGAGCCAGCATAGCTGCATCAGAGACCGCCACAGGTGCAATCTACCATAGAACAATAATATGAGAAAATATACTTGAACAATGATGAATTTATGCAAGTATGATAAGTTAACTCGACAATAAGACATGCAGGTCAGCTCACCTCTTCCATTGCAAGTGCAGGGACATTTGCTTGTACAGACATATCTTCTATGACCTAACCAATTTGAGTCATGGAGAAGCAGCATGAGACAAACCGCATACAGAATGGGAAAAATCTAGCTGAATGTACATTGTTATAGTCATACCGGTTTCGGAGTGAAGTGGAAATGAGACAAAGCATCCAACTTCAAGCACAGTTTCTTAAACAGCATAGTGGCCTGTTTTAACATTCAAAATAAAGCATACTCAAAAAAGGTGCAATCGAGGATAGCAATTAAACCCCGATACATGTCTCCATTCCCTCCTCCACACGCTACCCTGAAAAGCTGTAAGAGAATTTCACCCTTCCTTTGCATGTTGTAATTTGTTAAAAGTTTTAAAACCTATTAACAGCATATAACTCTCTTATTTCTGCACAAAGAACCTAAGTTAACCTAGGGGTGGCAATTTGAGCCCAAACCCATCCAACCCGCCCAGAGATTAATGGGTTGGGCTATAAAAGTATTAGCTCATGAGTCAATTTGGACTGAGCCCAAGTTAACCCATTATTTGTTATAGCCCATTCTGACCCATTAAGCATCCCAAATACAACCCATGAAACTCACTCAAAACAAAGGGATCTCAACCCAACTTATCTAAAAATTTACTGAGTTGCCCTAATTTTATTTTATTTTTATTTTTTTGTATTTTCAATTTTCTCTTCTTTTGTTTTTCTGCACCACCCACCCTAC